AACGGCGGTCCTTTTATTATTGAGTACGTTTTTGGGGTCCGTACACTTTCTTGTATACGCGGAAGAAGGGGAAAAAAAAAAACAAATTAAAAGAGAGAGAAGAGGAGGGAACCGATCTGTTTCTATATAAACCCCTCCCCCCGTCTCAACCGAGGGGGGGCTGTAGATTTTCGCTCTCTCTCATCGTTCTCAAACTGTTTCGAGCGGTTGGGAGGAACTAGGGCTAGCTGGGGGGCTTATTGATGGCGGAGTCATCAGCGAGTGCACCGTTTTTTGTGCAGGAGAAGGGGACGAATGGCCTCGATAAGCTCGTCCTTAGGGGGCCTCTATCGAGTTCTGCTGAGGTAATTCATCCGCCCTTAGCTTTCTGTTGAGAATCTTGCTTGAATGAGACAGTTCGGGATCAGGACTTTTGTTTCTTTGTTGTTGTTGTTGTTGTTGTGAGTACAATTGAGCTCAATCTATGCGATTCTTGATGAATCTGCCGGTTTCTTTGCTCGTCCGGCGTAATTTAGACCGTATCTTCGATTTTTCTTGAAATGTTCATGATTACTTCTCTCTCTTTCAGATTTATGTAGAGAATCTTGGTGCAATGGGAGTTTGGGATTCGGAGTTTGTTTCTTTTGTGTTGCTGCGAGTGCGATTGAGCTGAATCGATCCGTGCGATTCTTGATGAATCTTTTGGTTCATGTGCTTGTTTGATGTAACTTAATAATTAGACCATGCTTTAATGTTCTTGAAGTGTTCATATGCTCGTCCATGATTGATTCCTGGAGATCTTTCTGGGTGCTGGACCATATATACCAGGACACAACATGCCACGTCGCTCAATTTCTTGAATTTTTTTTAGTCCCACGTGAGATGATCTGGTGATTCTTTGAATTTTAACCTGTTATAATTACGTCAGAAATGTTGTTGTTTTTGCTGTTGACAACTTTATTGGTTTACTGTATTCCTAGACTCATGGTACTAAGATATATTTTTCTAACTAATAATAATGATATAGTTTGTATCTAGAAGCATGCAATTAAAACATTTAAAACACTGCAAATGTGAATTTTGTCCAATTATGGTTCCTTAGGCAAGTATCATTGATGAAGTATCAATGAATGATGACGATATGTTGTATTAAGTTTCATTGAGAACCATTCAGAAAGAAGGTGGTGAAAAATAAGTATTAGTACAGGTAGGGGAATGTTGAAGTCTCTTGGAATTTTCAGATTTAGTTTAATTTTATTAACAACCTTTTCTACTTATTTACTTGTTATATCACTTGCGATGACTGAGAACAGGGAACTTTATACACTCACCTTCTTAGGGATTAACAACAGGCGCATCCACTGTAGTAAATTTGAAACTAGTCACCAGGAGAAGTCACGTTTCTTTTTCATTTTCTTTGTTATCAGGCACTAAATAAGCATGCCCCGCAATCCCCAACACCCCCTCGATAGCAAAACATTAATCCCCTTAATGAAAATAAACAACAACTAAAATTCCTCTTACGTTTAATAACTTAGTATGAACCTAGTCACATAAACGATAAACAACTGTAGAAGTCCCTTTTTGCAAGATTTACAAGCTTCTTGACAAAAGATAAGAGATAAAAATATTTTCCTTCTTCACATTTCCTAATTCAAAGCGATTCATCTAATGACCACAATGCGTAAAGAATCTGATAATGGTAAGTGTTGAATCTTGTCAGTGGTTTCCCAA